TTGAAAAGATATGGGAGGAGTTATGCCCGGTTTTCTAGTTCAGGGAGAAAAAACTGACTTTTGCGATAATTTAGAGAGGCAAAGTAGACTTTTTTTTCTTACGAACATCAGTACTTTAGTATTTTTTGGAACGAATTTGATTATAGTGTTTAGATAAAATATAAAGGTGCGAATTTAAATTCCTTTGATCAGATATTCAGTCAATAAACATTCATATCTTTTTATAACTAATATTCATAATATTTACACCCAGGCTCTCGGCTCGACCGACAAAAAAATCAAAGCGGTTCAGCTGCCGATTTTTTTAACACTTTTTGTAAACTAATTTTAAATCTAACACTGGTTTATTTCTTTTTCAAATCTAACACTTTTGGCCGCGCCTATTGCTATGACGCGGCGAAACGCCTGTGTCGCGCTATGCATGATGGCGCGACTGGAGGATAACGTGGCATCGTCGTGGCCGGGTCTGCCGCGCCACCCATCTTGGCGCGGCTGTGACGCGCCAAAGCTAGTGGTGCGTTAAGGTCCAGTAAAAGCTCACGACGCCCCCACTGCGCCCGCCCTCGCCCTCGATCCCAGCGTACGCCGCTGCCACCTGGGCCACCGTCGCCGTCTCTGCCCAGTGCCGCCGTCGCCGTCAGGCAGCCGACCACCAAGCGCCGCCGCCGCGCCAGTGTTGAGGCACCAGCGCCTCACATGCGCCGCTGCCTCGCCAGCGCCGCTGGCCGGTGAGGCCACCAGCGGCCATCTCCTTCGGCTTGGGTGACCCCAAAAGGTCCCCGCTTGTCAAGGTAGCTCCCTCTCTCGATTTCTTGTTATTATAAATGTTATTTTAGTTAGGGTTAGTGATTTAAGATAGTTAGGGTTAGTGATTTAGTATAGTTACGTTAGTGAATTTGTTTATTTAGGTAGGTAGTTTTTAGGGTTTAGGTTGTGTGTTGTAGTATAGTTAAGGTTTTGTTAGGTAGTTAGGGTTTATGTTACTGTTAGTTAGCACTTTGGGTTTAGATTACGCTATGAGAGGATACGGCGAAGACATGTACGGAAGGGAAGACTTCAACGAGGTCCGTGGCAGAAATCTTTGCTCTATTTACAAAGAATCTGGTCACAAGGCTAGCAGGCATAGAAGATGAGGGCAACATGTCCATACATAGAAGTTACTTATTTTTCTAGTGAAGTTGTTTAATATCTCTGTTAATGTTACTTTGAATATATACATGTGCTTTCATATTATGTTCGTATTGCATAACAAGTAGTTCAAATTTTACAATACTATATAATGTTAATTTGAATATTGTTAATTTAAATACTCTAACCCTTTGTTTATTAATTTGTAACATGATGGCCCCTCCCACACAGCATCAGTTATACCCCCTTCTTGAGGTGGAGTACAATGACCCGCACCGAGCACACTTCTTGACTGACACCGACGTAGAGGTGCCCTTGCCTCCTTTGAGGCCCCGCACGCATATCAGGGCGCACCAGTGGGACGAGCGTTACACGCCGTACATACGGCGTGCCGGGTTCCTCAAGCTTGCCCGTGTTGTCAACTACGGTCTTTCGCTCCTTGATCCAGCACTACTTACTACAGCTGTAGACATGTGCAAGTGCCTTCATTGTACGTAAATATTCTTATAACAAATTTGAGGCACCTAACTGTCGTTCTATTCTTATAATATGTGGAGGCCTGAGACCCACACGTTCCACCTACCTTACGGCGAGATGACCTTGACCGTGCAGGACGTGAATGCTATCTTTGGCTTTCGGTTGGGGGACTTTCCAGTGACAGGTATAGTTGACAACGATCATTGAAGGGAGATGGTGGCTCAGTTCACTGGCTTTCTTCCACCGGACAACGAGGTTTTCAAGAAAAATAAGTGAGCAATTCAAGCCTATTTAATACTTGCATTGTTTTTCTGCAGCTATCGGGTCTCATTTTCTTTGGTGAATTTGAAGAAAAGTTTCGGTGTTTTGTCGTCGTGGATCACAGAGCACTTTGATTACTTAGACCCATAGTCTGATGAGGCTCAGATCGACAAGTTCGCTAGAGTGTGGCTCTGGCACTTGGTGCTTTCCTATTTCTAGATGCCTCGGGCAACACCATCAGTTGGATCTTTCTTGACATACTACGCCAGCCGTGGGATAACATAGCGGCGTATAGCTGGGGCAGCGTAGTCCTGGCATGGACGTATTGACAGTTATGCGTTGCCTGCCATCGCACCTCAGGGTATGCGAACCTTGGGGGTTGCTCCTACCTACTCCAGGTTTGGTGTTGGGAACGATGGCCCGTTGGGAGGCCCCTTGTTACTGGTTTACCAGTAAGTACTTCGGTTCACTATATTCTTCGAGACAGTTACATATGATGAAATTATTAATGGCTAATTCATTATCGTGTTCAATACAGTATTAGAACGGGCAGGATACACTCCCTACAGCTCCGTATATCTGGACGCAAGCAGAGTTAGTTAGAGGGAATGCGAGGCGTAAGTACAGGGAGTACACAGACTGTCTCGATGTCTTGACACAACACCAGGTTACGCTCTATTTACTATCGTACATGTGTCTTGTTTGATGTACACTATATCATAACCTAACTCAATTATAAAATATTCAGGTGCATTGGTGTCCTTGGGATGCTCCGGAGCTCCAGTACTATCTGAGTCCTATCACTAGGGATGAGTCAGACGAGTATCGCTGCAACGTCCCTCTTATTTATCTTCCACGTGGTGGAGATTCACTTGCCCATCAGGGTTTACACACAGTTTGGAAGAATGACAGGCTACCCACCACTGCTTTACTCCACCAACCAAGAATTGCACGGGTGTGTTATCGATTAATAACAAAGCTATAATTCAGATGTGTGTATGGTACAACTAACAATCGTTTTGTTGCAGGTATGACCGCAGAAAGAGGTACAAGACTAAGAATTGGCGCGTGACACACAACGCGTACATCCAGTTGTGGCAGAACAGGGACCGGTAGCCAGTCGATGCGGGTCCCCCACACAATCAGCACACCTTCGACGAGTACCTACGGTGGCTTCACAGGTCTACGAGGACACATATCAAGCCCCCGTACACTGAGAAAGCGATTGACGAGGACGACAAGGAAGATGTGATCAAAGATGTGTACGACGTTGCCACTAGGGACGACACACAACTACAGAGAGCCTCGCTTCAAATATACATGGTAAAATACTCGAATGGTATAATTTGTTATCTATTTGGTATCAAGTATGTGTACTAAAACTGTTCAACCGCGTTTCTGTACCCAGGCGACACAATTGTCAAGGCTGTCCAACGAAGCAGCGTTTCGGGTTCACGAGTCTAGAGGGCAGGAGCCAGACGTTTTCGAGGCTTTTGTGGAGGTAAACATAAACTTGTCCGTTCCAAAAATATTTCTTTAGTGTATATGCATTTGAAAAATGCACTTACTTTAACGTCTATTTATGTAGAAGGTGAAGTGGAGCTGCAAGAAGCTAGCTTAGAAGTTGAGTTGTATGGACACTCCTTGGGTGGAACCCGATTACCCGGCGTGGTCGGGTGGCACGTCTTCTGGCTCTTTGAGGACACCAGCCGGCTCTTCTCAGCCAGTGACAGGTGCCGCTTCCGCAGTGCGTACACCACCACATCATAGCGTTGGGAAGGACCTTGCAAACGAGGACGACGATGACGACGACCCCCCGGGCTTCCGCATACAGCACCACCAGTGGGACGATTGACAGCAGGATGAGATCGACATGTCTCAGTTAGGTGGTGCCCTGCTTGGTACCTAAGGAGCCTCACAGGTACTAACAAAGGTAGTTTCTTTAAATACGTAGGCTCCATAAACTAACGATCATAAAGATTATAAGTAATCGTGCATATTATATACTTGCAGGGTACGAGCTGTACGCACCGGCAATGCGACCACACCGACGTTGGCTACACTCCCAATGTGTTGCCTATAAATCCAAAGAGACAGAGACGTCCGAGGGATCCTTACACTCCTGAGATTTAGTTGGTTATGTCGAACTTATGTCGAACGAATATTATCATCCGAAACTTGCAGACTCATAAACCAATGAAAATGTTATATGGTAACTTGTCAACTTTCGCACGGACTCCATTTATTTGCTTCATATTCGTTTCAATGCATCGTGGCAGCACTGCCGGCGAGATTAACTAGCAACTAGTTCGGGAACCGGCAGTCCCGGCGTATCTCGCCGCCGGTGGCCGGCGTCTTGACCCCGATCCTCTCAAGCTTGGTCATCGCCGCCACAAAATCGTCGAAGAAGGCACCCTGGTTGGACGCGTAGTAGTCGGCCGTGCTGCGCGACCTCATGTCGGGGTAGAGCACCTGATCGAAGCCCAGGAGGCCCTTGCCGACCTGCAGGTTCCGATAGAAGGCGTTATCGAAGCCCACCGGCGAGGGGTCGAGGAAGGCGAAGGCGCTGGGGTCGGAGCTGCAGGTGCCGTTCAGCTGCGACGCGAAGCCAGGGTCCATGGTCGCGTCGCTGCCGATCCTCACCGACAGCAGCTCCCGTTCAATTGCAATTGAGGCTGATCGGCTTCTGTCTGCGTTTAGGTCCTGCTACGCCGTGGGCCTTGGCGCGTCAATGCCGCGCCGTGGTCTATGGCGCGGCAGACCCTGCCACGTCATCGGTCAGCGTCCCGGTCGACGCCACGTCATCCTCCCGCCGCGCCACCATGTATGGCGCGGCACAGACGTTTCACCGCACCATGGCAATAGGCGCGATAAAAAATGTTAGTTTTGGAAGAAAAAAATAAAACAACGTTAGATTTAAAATTAGTTTTAAAAAGTGTTAAAAATAAAAAAAAAATCCGGCTGCCGCACGCCCGCACGGCCGTACCGCGCGGACGCGAGACGTACAAGAAGACTACCCCGAGCCCCCGACTCCACAGATGCGGCCGGCACTCTTCCCCCCCCCAACTCTGCCCAAATATTTGAAATCCTTTTCGCTTCCCTCTTCCCCGAGCTCCGACCCCCGAGCCCCCTCGATGGCGGATCCGCCGCCTGTGCTCACGCTCCTAGTGAAGAAGGGCCCCTGCGAGGGGAAGACCCTGCAGCGCCGCGCCGGCGCCGCGGCGCTCCGTGTCGGCCGCGTTGCCAAGGGCAACCACCTCTCCGTGGGCGACGCGGGCGCGTCGCAGAGGCATCTCTCCGTCGAGTTCCTCCCGCCGCCTGCGGCCCGGTGGGCCGTCACCGATCTAGGCTCCTCCAACGGCACCCTCCTCAACGTTACGCCTCTCGTGGCCACTATCCCCGCTCCGCTCTCCGACGGGGACCTCATCAAGATCGGGGAGACCACCGTGCTCGCCGTCTCCATATCGACCGATGCAGGCCCGGGACCGGGCCCCGCCGCGACTAGGCGTTCCGCGCGCAACGCGGCGGCGGCGGCGGCGGAGGCGGAGGAACAGGGCCCCGCGGTTTCTCGCAGGGCCGGACGGAGGAAGGCCGGTGCGGCGGAAGCCCCTGAAGCTGGGAATGAAGTGGAGGAGGAAGCTGCACTCCCGACTCGCCGAGGCGGGCGGAAGAAGGCTGGTGCGGCGGAAGCCCCCGAAGCTGGGAATGAAGTGGAGGAGGAAGCTGCACTCCCGACTCGCCGAGGCGGGCGGAAGAAGGCCGGTGCGGCGGAAGCCCCCGAAGCTGGGAATGAAGTGGAGGAGGAAGCTGCACTCCCGTCTCGCCGAGGCGGGCTGAAGAAGGCCGTTGAGCCCGCTGGAGTGGAGACGGAAGCGGAAGATGAAGAGGAGGAAGCGGCAATACCGAGCCGTGGCAGGTCAAGGAAGGCTGCAGTGACGTTCGTCCTTCCGCCACAGCCGCAAAACACGAGGTCAGCGAGAGCTGCTGCAAGAAGAGGTGAGGTGTTGGGGTGCGAAAACGACGAGGGGGAAGTGGTGAGGACCGGAAGGGGGCGAGGACGGGTTCCAAGGGCAAGTGCAAGGAATGGTACGGGTGTTACTCCCGAGGAGGAGGAAGAGGAGGGTGAGGTAGCTGTGGCCAGAGATCAGGAAGGGACAGCCGCCGAGGGCAAGGGTGAGGTGGTGCCGGCGTCTGGGAGAGGACGAGCAAAGAGGGGCAGAGGAGGCCGAGGCCGAGGCCGCGGAAGGGCTACGAGGGCAAGTACAAAGAAGCAGGCTGAGGATGCAATTGTTGAGAACGATGAAAATGAGCAAGAAGAAAAGGATATGGCTGATGGCAGAGAACGAGTGGGGAGTCCATTGAGGGTGTTGGCTGTGAATGATTGTTCTGAAGAGGATAAGGTGGCAGCTGAGGATGACAAGTTGGATGGAAACTCAAAGGCATCCGTGGAGGATGAGAAGATGGTGGATGTGGAGGAGGATGCGACATTGACAGAGAGGGCAATAGAGGGGAGGGTCAATGCTCAGCATGCTCCTGCTGACAATGGTGGTGTGGAAGAAGAGGAGGTGAAGAATTTGAGCAAGGGAGGGGAAACTGAATTAGATCAGGAATTGAGGGAAAAAGTGTCACCTGGGTCAAAGAATGACAAGAGGGAAGCTACTGGTACCAGTGGTGAGAAAGGCCATGTGGGGGAGAGCAAAGGAAGACACAGATTGGAGAATATGACATTGGGGCAGTGGTTTGTTCAGATTGAGAAATACCTTCTAGCAAAGAATGCAGAGGCTGCTGAAAAGGCGATAGCTGAAGTGCAAGAGAAACATCGGCGGTTTTGTGAACATGTTAAATTGCTCAAGCTCAACAAGAGTTCTGCTCCTTGAGATTCCATGGTACATTCAGCTATAACTGAAACATTGTCCTATTATTACTTCTGTTCATGTTTTTTTCAAGAATCAATTGCAATTTTTGCAAGTGCCCCTAATATATTTGTTAAGCATGAACTTTGCTATACTGCAATGAAATATTCTTGTGAGAAATGTTGAAATCTTGTGGTTAAATCTTGAGGCTTTTACATGTATACCATTAAAAAAGTTTGTAATTACACACAAGCCATTAAAAAAATTGACTGCACACGAGTGCCATCGTTCTGAACTTCTTTGCTCTGCAAGCCATTCCGTCGGTGTTCTGTTCGTTTTTCACCGTTTGGGAGTCCTGACAAGTGGGCCCGGTCAGTCAAAACGTCCATAATACCCCTCTCATTCCTATCCTCCCTCTCTCAAACTCGACCTCATCTCTCTTCTCCATGGCTGCCCGGTGAGCTTGCCCATGCCTTGCTGGCCGCTTAGCTGTATGAGCTCCCATGTCATGCGGTTTGGTCGGGGCTCTTGCCCGCGCCAAGGCGGCTGTCCGGGCGGAGCTCGCCACACCGCCAGAGGCGGCCGGGCGGAGCTCATCTCGCTACCCATACGCATTGGCAGGCGGGCGGACCTCCTCGCGTCACCTCCACACGCGCTGCGTCAGATCCACGGCAAGGACCGGCTGCAGCAGCTCCACGCGCGCCGCCATCTCCTTCTTCTTGGCCGCAGCGGCGCGGGAGGCGCGCCTGCACCTCGCCCGAGCGCGTGACTGACAAACGGACCCCACCGTAGGGTAAAATGGTCATTTCACCTGTCTGTTTGACACCGTTAAGTAGAAAAGCGGACGGAATGGCTTGGAGAGCAAAGAAGTTCAGAACGGTGGCACATGTGTGCGGCCAACTTTTTTAATGGCCTGTGTGTAATTTCAAACTTTTTTAATGGCACACATGTAAAAGCCTCTTAAATCTTTCAAGTTTTTGTCCTATTGTGAATGCTGATTATAATTACAAATTTTCTTGTAGCAAACAACTTGTTTGCCAGTGGCAAGGGGTAGTTGGTAATTTTGATGCTTAGTTATGTAAAGAGAGTGTACTGTAGTATAGGCCTTGTTCGGCACAACTTGTAATTGTGCAGAATTTTCTTTTATGAGAAGCTGGTGAAAAGTGTATTTTGATTATTCAGTTAATTCCTAGTCTGGTTATTGATAAGCTGCTGCAGAATCATGTTGTTTGTCACAGCTTCTGCTTTGTCTGTGAAAAGCTAAGAAATAAGCCCTGCCAAGCAGGGTATAGTTCTTCAGGGACCTTTTTTTTGTACATGCTTAGTTTTCTTTTTCTTATTATACCACATACTTGAACTATGCCTTTGTGTTGCTGACAAATTTTATGGTCCTGTGTGCTGTGATTTCATGAAAGTCATGGTGCACAGTTCACCTGCAATATTAGCTTGTCTGACCCTTTGCTACCATGAATATCTAATTAACAAGAACCATTTGTGTACAAGAATTTGGCGGATTCTTTTAGGATATTGTCCACTGTTTTGCCACCTCTGATTCTCTGAATGATTCAATAAGGGTGCTTGAAATTTTGTTAATTTTTTTGCACAGTTTCGTCAATCGCTTATGAAATTAAGATAAATCTGTTACTTCAAAGTTTTCTTTCAGTAATCCTGCCCAACTGAATTAAACCTTGTTACTTTTTAATAACTAACAGATTGCTTATTTGACTATTATCCACAAGTTGCTTAAGCCTGCTATGTTCTCTACAGGATAATCTGGAAATATTTTGGACAGCCTAATGTTGGATGATTTGATGACACCATCATATCACAATGAAGACAACAATGCTGAAGCGTCGCAAACTGTAGGTTTGTGGTGTAGCTACCAGTAGCAGGGTGGTATTCTTCGAAGTTGTTTATTCCAGGCTTAGTAGTTTGCTACTATTCATGAATGTGACGAGAATGTCGTGCTAGTATGTATAAAGCAGTAAGTTAGCTCCACTGAATTCTCTGTTGCATTCAGTAGGGTTCTTATGTCCTGAACCTCTATGATAGTTAACTGAATTCTCTGTTGCATTCAGTAGGGTTCTTATGTCCTGAACGGCTGAACCTCTATGATAGTTATCTGCAATATATCCTTTTATCTTGTGTCTCGGTTTATAATGCAGATATTTGGAGGATTATTTGTCTCCATTCCACACGCTGACATGCGAGTTTTTTTCTCTTTGCTACTAGTACTTGTTTAGGAACATGCTATTCTTCTGCTTAGAGACCTCAATACCATCGGAGGCACTGCATGAAAATGATATGTGTGAAGCGTCTTATGTACAAGTACAACATAGGATCTGATAGTTTATTCCTCTTTATTTACTTGCTTACCCATTGCTTATGGCTTATGCGAGCTTATATCCAATGCCAATAATTAGTGAACAATCACTGTAGATGGTTCTGAGATTCTGACTGCAGTCGTCCACATTGTGAATTCAGCCTAACTAACGGACGAGTAGAGAGGCAAACATACAGAATGATTTTTTTTCTTGAAAGCGTAGGAGACATAGGTTTTGTTATAATAATAAGAAAACGAGTCTAAGAATCATACACACCCATTTGGGTGAAGTTCAGTACACAGGAGGATTTGCCAGATAAAACAATGCTGTTGAGATTGCGTAGCACTGACCATCGTTGGGTACTTGGGAGTTGAGGGCAAAACAGATGTGTCAGAGAGGCTCACCGTCCAGCCACCTTTGAGCCATCGCAAAACTTTCTTCAGGCTGGTATTCTGGAGTAGTATGACCGCCACCCTGCGCAAGCAACAACGCATTAGGTTACGTCTGATTACCTGATCCAATCGTGAAAACGTGCGTGAGCTATCGACAAAAAAATCTGATAGGGATTAGGGACATAGCTACCTTCACTGTCGCAAAGGTCAAATTGTTGGCGTATGTTATCGTAAACCTGAACAGGATAATTAAAGAAAAAAAATGCAAGTGATGTCCCTGTCAGAGAGCGGATTCCAGACGATTGGATTGCAATACAGTTTTTATTTGGCAAACATTTGTATATTCAGCAGGTGAACTAAACCCCCTGTACACGTCAGTGTATGTAAGAGAAAAGAAGGGAGTTAGATGACTTAACCCAGCAGCCTGGCCCTTGAGGTGCCACGCTCTCCAGTCATCAACTATGGAGAAATTCAGTGATCTTATCCACGCTTGCGTGCCGAGGAACGGTACCATAAGGTCATGGTCTCCACTGCACCCACAAAGATCGCAAGGGCATGACATGGAAGAAGGTTCATGCCCAGGCTGAGGCTCAGCTAGAAAGAACTGTTCTGAATTCTTGGATGCTCACCTGTACACAAGCGCAAGGTAACCTCTGGTCGTGAGGTTTAAATGGTACTTGATGCTGCTTGGGAGGTCATTTGCGTAAGGAAGCCCTTTGATGCACCTTATCCATTCGCCAACTGTCCCCTTTTCAAGATCGTCATATTTGCATCATTATTTTTTTGACGTAAATATTTGCATCATTATTAAAGCCATTAGTACAAAAAATGTCCGATTATGCGTCCTAGAGAATCATTAACCACAGGCCCAGTTTCAAAAATTAAGATATATTATAATACTTGACTTTAGAGTCTGCTTAGCAGAAGCAGTTTTATGACAAGAACATATTCAGGAGTACAATCTGAAAAGAAGTACCTCCTTCCGTTTCAAAAAAAAGAAAAGAAATACCTCCTTGATCCCAAGAGCATCCCTGGTAGTATCGTTGTTCATCCAATAGTAAGCCAGGTAGTAACCATATGTCTGCAATTTCAGATGAATTCTTGCTAGAAGAACGGAGAGGGTCACATCACATCATCAGAGCACATGCAGTTGTAGAGACCAACTTACAAAACAATGAAGTTTAGGACGATCCGGCGGCTCATTTAGCTGTATAGATTCTTCTGATAGAACCCTTCTTGAATCACCATTATATTTGGGTTTTGGCGCGGCTACAGGGCATACATCGTACAGGATATGTGCTTTTGGGATTTCAGAAAGGAGCTGCAGTGAAATTAGAAGGCGGCATTGGTTACATTACATGATGAAAAGAAATAAAAACAGGTCAGAGCACATGTATCTTTCTTACATTGTTAATAGTGAGCAGCACCTCAGCGCACAATTTGTTTGCAGGGTTTACATAATCTCCTTTGCAATGCTCCACTGCAGCCTTTGTAAAAGGAAAATGGAAACATTCTACACAAAGATTACGTTGGACTTGGTCAACATGTGTGGATGTGGAATTACGTACCTCGTATAGCTGATCAGATATGATTCCAAAGCCATGAGAAGCTGGAATCACGAAGTTTTCATCAAACCTAGAGTCTGTTACAGGATTGCCAACTAGATAGCCCTGTGAAATTGTAAATAATTGTATAAGCACAACAAAGAACTAGACACATGATCTCACACTATTTTTACTCCTTTTTCTTTTTCTCCATTTAAATTGTTTGAAGGCCAGAGAAAAAAACATGCCTTGAGATTGATGCTGAGGCTGCTGCCTTTCCTCAATTCCTGAAGCATAGTGTAATAAAATTCAAGAGTCAGCTTTATGATTTGTAAGGGAAAGCAGATCTTTTTATATATTTCTAAAAGAGGAGTTTCCTTTGAACAAAATTTCAGAATGGTATTCGAAAATGAATAAAGAAAAGGGTAGCATACCAATCATGTTTACTGAAAATTAGATATCATTGGGTAGCAGGATGCCAGTTAAATTGTGAAATTATTTGCGCTTTTTCGTGTATCTTGAGGACTTGAGGTACGTGGAGCATTCAGTAGTTTACCTTCTGAAATATACTGCGCAATAAGTGGAACCACCTTTCCAGCATACGAATCCCCACCAATGTAGAAAATATTCGAAAGATACTGCGGATGATCGATGAACCACTACATAATAACCGTACAGAAGTTGGCAAGTAATTGAGGTACACGGTTCTTCCATCGAAACACTTCATCATCAGGGCTGTAAGAGACCAACTATGCTTATTTTCACCTGCTTCAGGAATGTGACGATTTGCAAAGACGATGAGTAGTCTCCTACATCGTAGCCTTTGGGATCCCGCGCAAACGAGAAACCAGAGCCAACAGGGGAATCCACGAAGAGAATACTTGCCATCTGAAACCGTCAACAAGGCGCAAACTGAATTGAAATGAGGCTTTAGGAAGAGAGTTTTTTCAGGACTATGAATTGATGTACATCACCTGTGTCCATGAATATGGGTTGTAGACTAACTGCGGCAGATTGCTTTGGTGAGGCGTATAAGGTGCCAACACAAATTTTATAGGACCTGTGCAAGAAGATGACACAATTGGATATATATTCTTAAGCCTTTTTAACATCTACATATACAACATGAAAAACTACCTAGTAGTAGGGGGAAAAAAACATCAACCGGCTTATCAAGCCCAAAAACCATTAGCCGACAGCTCGACATATTCACATGAGGCGTTATAGCATTTAATTTAACGGCCAGAAGATCGCTATGGATGGAACTAACCTACTTCAAAGGCGAGGCCGCTGAAAACAGTGCAGCGTGGCCCGCCGGTGAGCCACAGGAGGACGGGGTCCGTGCGCGGGCTCCGCTCCGACTCCACGAAGTAGTAGAAGAGCTCCGTCCTGGTGTCGTCGTCCACGCCCACGTATCCGGTCTCCAGGTAGAAGGGCAGAGGGCCGTCGAATCCCGGCAGGTGCGTCACCACCGACGACGACGACGACGATGCGCGGGACAGCGGCAGGAGGAGGTAGCAGGCAGCGGCGAGACGCAGCAGCAGGGAGAGATGGCGGCGGCCGCCTCCCGCATGCATCGGAAGTGTAGGCTTGAAGGCCATGCTTGGGATCGTGTTTGGAGGTGTGATGAATGGAGAATGCGTGGTAGAGTCGCTACATGTCGAGCTCCGTGGGACTGTTGATTTTGACCACTGCTGAGCAGCTCCAGTGTCAAATCGAACTGAACTGACACGGTTCGGATGGGTAGAGTTCGGTTTGGGAGAGCTGCAGTGTCGCGTCGGTGGTTGCTCCAAAGAAACAATAAATAAATAAATTGAAAGTGACCCTGGCTGATGAGGTTCACAGGCAATACCATCACTGATCTGCCTATACAAAGATTTTTTTATTGGACAGCCACGGCACGGTTCGACGCTTGAGTTGTGTTCGATTTTACTTCTGACAACGAGCAGTCGAACCGTGTAGTGTTCTCGGTTCGCTTTTGCAGTACACTGGAGGTGCCCGGTGATCGACCTCAGCTCGTTTTTTTCTATTTTATTTTAAAATGGGATACAAGGACGATAGGATCATCGAGGAATCACGTCTCGATCATATATCTAAAATACTAAACTGATAAATCTCGAGATTAACAAAGTTATTATAAATGTCTTGCTGTTGAAGAGCATGTCATGACGTTAAATCCTAAAAAAATAAAAAAAAAAAGATACAAGCACTCACATCAAATCAAGAACTTAAATCTAGATGTCTAGATGAATTGGCTATCATAAAAAATCAAACCAACTGAGTTACACTCAATTCGTTCGAGACATCACACATAGGTGGCCATCGCCTTGCGATCTCGAGCGGTCACCCGGGCTCGTTGGCGAAGTGCAAAGAAAAATTTTAAATCCGTATCAAGAGAAGCACTATGGCCTTGTTCGGCTGACTTTGAACCTGGCTTGATCCGCTTCTTTTTTTTATCCGGAACAGTATTTTTCTCTCGCAGAAATTCAGCATCTACAGTGTTTTTCAGCCGGCACAGTAACTTTTTTGGGTCAGCCGAACATGGCCTATATTTTTTAGGTACTTGTCGCAAAAAAAATATTTTTAGGTAAATATTTCTACATAGTGAAAATCGTTAGGGCTCCTAAAAATTTCTAGCTCTGCTACTGACATCACATCTTGACCCAATTTAATAGAAAAAACAGCACATCTTTGGCCTTAGTTTAACTTTTCTTTTCCCTCTTTTCCATTTGGAGCACAAGCTACTCTCTGCCCGAAAAGATATATTATTCTAGCTTTATCTTAAATCAGATAATTATATGTTTATCAAATCTCTTAGAAGAGTTTTGATTGTTATAAATTCAAATTTATATAAATAGATTCATCATGAAATATATACATTCATGGTATACTTTTGATGCTATAAATATCAATATTGTTCAATATATTTAGTCAAACTTAGGATGTTTTTATATTTCGACAAAAACAATGACAGTAATTGATAATATTACTCGTGGTGCGCGTGTTGCGTACGTGCATTAATTAGCTTTAGCTTTCGACAAAAAATAATGATATTAATTAATAATATAGTGAACTCGCTGCGTACGTGCATTAATTAATTAATTAATCAAAAACTGCACCATCTCCAACAACTCATGCATCACGGCATGCAAACCTAAAATGCCTACTCCAAGTTGCTTTATCGGTGGAAAACGCGGTCCAATAGACGACGCAAACGAGGGACCTATTTTGAGTGGGACACGATGCACGACCCAAGTAAGCGTCACCTCTCTCCTCGAACCCAAATCTCTGGCACCGGTGGGGAGAGGACGCCACTGCGCGTGGGGGCCATCTGCGCGGACGTCGAGTTCGGATCCGCCGGGAAAGGGGCGCCGCCACACCCAATCGACCGGATCCGCCTGCAGCTAACCGGAAGGGGAGAGACGGCGAGCGCGGTGTGCAGGCGCGGGTGGTGCGCCCCGCCGCGGCGCAGGTCCTGGCGAAGGAGGAGGACGAGGCGCCAGCGAAGAGCAAGGGCGCCCTCTTGCCGCCGGATCTCACGGCCACCGGCGCCAGGAACTTGGCAGCGGTGAAGGACGTGGGCGCACGTTGTAGAGGTCGACGTCTGGGTAGAGGTAGTCGTCGATGGAGAGCTCGGCGATGGTGCGGACGTCCTCGCCGTACATGAAGAGCGCGAGCAGGAAGAAGGCGGCCACCAGCGTGGTGACCGGGGAGCGGCCCGCCGCGGCGAGGAGGGAGCTCGCGGAGGAGGAGAGCGAGCCCAGGAGGCCGAGGCCCCCGGTGGTGGTGGTGGTGGGTAGCGGCGGGGGGTCGAAGGCCGAGGTGAAGGTGGAGGTGGGCAGCGGCTGCTTGGCCATGGCTGCTGCGGAAGGGAGGGGGTGGTGTGGTGGCGCAATGCCGCGCCCAGGCTGGTGAGCTACGGGCAAGCAGCGAGTGGATCGGTGGATGCGACACGGGCATAGGAGGGAGGAGGATGTGGCTGAGGTAGAGGATGGTAGCATCGTCGTGAGTTGCTCGCGCATGGCGACAGGGCCGTTGGCCAACTCCATGGCGACGAGCGGAAGGGGAAGGAGATGGGTGGGCGGCGGAGAGACCGAGGAAGAAGAGGGCTGATTTGCGTTGGCTGCTGGAGAAGCTAAATTTTGGGTGCGGACCCTTTTACCTGTGCATGACCCAAACCAGAGAATGGGTGTTGTGTTTAGATTATCATTGTTGAAGACGGTCTTAGTACACCTATTTTTAGGAGGGTTAGACTGTCTCCAACGGCTTACCTGTATGGGTACCCAAACCCAAAATAGGTATTGAATGGTACTGTTTCGGTCTCCAACAGATTACCTATATGTGAGACGCATTTTGTGTTACAGCAGACTCATAACCCAAATATGAGTATTTTCTCTCCTGAATATTCATTTGCAGAAATGGTTCTCCTTTGGGTCCTGTTGTTGGAGAAGACCAAAAATGGGTATTGAACCATTTACCTGTAGCGCTACTCAAACGTGAAATAGGTCTTGTATTTACCTGTAGCGCTACCCAAACGCCCTGTTTGTTTGGGCTTATTTGGCTGATAAGCCATAGCTGAAAGTACTGTTGGCTGATTTAGTGTGAAAAAAAAATATTGTTCGTTGCCTGAAAAAATATTGTTTATAAGCTAAACAAGCCAAGCGAACAGGACGTTAGTCGAATGATTTGAGTTGGTGAGGTAGGTAAGTAGGAGTACTACTAGTCTACTACCCGTGTGTTTGGTTTGGAGGACGATGTGGAACGAGATGGGATGGACCCGAGATCAGCGCTGTTTGGTTGGGAGGCGGAGTGGAGCGAGGACGTCCTCGACGCGAATATTCACGTGAGATGCGGGGCGACCCCGTCCCCCAAAATTTCACAGACAGGGTCCGTCCCAGGTGGGACGAGCGGCTCGTGGAGGTGCCGAACGCGGACGGGGTCACAGAGAGGAGCTGCGCCGGACGTGACGCGGAGGAGAAGAGGAGAGAGGAGCCATGCCGAATGCTGAGGAGAAGAGGAGTGTGGGGGGGCTTCGACCGGCGAGCGCGCGGGGGAGCTCCGGCCGGCTGCCGTCGTGCGGGCAAGCACGCAGCCGAGATCCGGCCCGCTGCCGCTGTGGGTGACCTTCGGCTGCTGGCGTGCGGGTGAGGGCGCGAGCGTGCAGCGGCCCCGCCGTCGCCGTGTGGGTGAGGGCCAGCTCCGCCCCGCCGACGCCGCGCTACGAGCCTGGGACTCCGAGGAAAAAATAAATTAGACGCTGACGGATGGGTCTCACATGTCGTGTGTACGAAGAAGAAAGGATAAGGAAGAAGAAAAAAGAAAAGAAAAAAGGAAAGGGAAGAGAAAAAAATGTGATGGATGTGGGCCCTATATATCAATAGCTCATCCCACTTTTGAAGTCCCAGAACCAAACAGAAAACGGGTTTGTCCTGTCCTTTCTCAATCAAACAGGAAATAAACTCGTCTCATCCCACAAACCAGAGACAGGACCATCCCGCCCCACCTTGTTTTCCAACCAAACGCTACCTACTAGTACCTGGGACCCAGATTCAGTGACTTGCTAGATGCTGTGACTTCCGTGGCATCTCAGATTCTCAGGCGTTGAAATCGAATCCAATGGTCCTTGGTAGTGATTCAAAGAAAAAAACAAAAGGGATGGGAGGGAGGCAGGCGGTAGAATAGAACCACGGAGGCCCTTGGTGTGGGAAAATAATTCTACGCACTCGTGATGTACAGTGGTACCTGTGGTATCCGGAACACGAGATCGTCGCACTGCATGGACGTGCTCAATTATAGCCTTGCTATTATTTTCTCTTCCCCGTAAGAACACGCCGTTGAGGCCAAAAACTAGTCAAATCTTGCAAACTTCAATAACTTTCAAACTATTTAGTCTAGGGTATCTCTAACAGCCTTTTTAAATCTCATTCTGTCGGATACCAGAAAATGGGGTACCCCAAGCAAAGATTAAAAAACTGCTTAGACCCTAAGAACAGAACCAATGGAATAAACAAACGAGGTCTCGGCTGAAATCTCCGATTCGCCCGAGACCCCGTCGCCGAGCCCCAGCGGAAGCAAACGATTCTCCGACTCGCCCGAGACCGCCTCGCCGAAGCCCCCTCGTCGAGGCCCCCTCGCTCGGGGCCTCGGAAGAAGTGCCGATTCTCCAAATCGCGCGAGGCCGGCTCGGCACCAGCCCCGTGACCGCCTCTTTGACCAAACTGCTCTGACCGAACGTCACATCCAAGCGCCCAACCACTCCGACAGATGCACGATGGCACAGTACAGCGAAGTGACCGACTACACGCCAGTCGCGTCAACCTCCTGCCATCTGCGACGGCACAGAGCAGGGGTTACCGACCACTGTGCTGCCTAACTCCCGCGCCAAGGACATCGCAACGTGGGGAGTCAGAACGGGTTCCTGTGGCCTCGAAATCAGCGAACCGACCGCTCTGGCTCGCCCGAGCCCCCTCGACAGGGCCTCGGATTCACTGATCTTACTTCGCCTCGCCCATCCGCCTCGCCCGAGACCCCCCCGGTAGGGCCTCGAACGAATTGGCCGCGCTCCACCTCGCCCGAGGCCGGGCTTGTCCCGCAACCTCGT